CACCCTTATAATATAAATGCCACAACAGAACCCATTAATTCTGTTTCCTCTGCCTCTCATTTTTGCATTATTTTTATCCAAGTAATTCACTTCAGATTCTATATTAATCTGCTATTTTTTTTAAAAAAACTTATCAAAATATATATTTAATACATTGGATCATTTTATTTTATTTATTGTTCTTTTAAAAGAACCCTGCATTTCAGGTTATAATTCACTAGATTGAATACTTCGGAGTTAAAAAATACCAATTCATAAAAAGGGTCAGCTTAGTGAAATGATTGAAAGCACTAAGCTAGTAACACAGAGTGAGATGCTAGCTTTGCCTTAGGCACAAAATCAGCTTGGTTGATTTTGGGCAAGACTTTTGCTATCAACCTGAGGAACTAGGAAATGGCAAACCGTTTCTGAAAAATCTTGCCAAGGAAATTGCAGAGACTTAAAGGAACAAAAAATGATAATATATCTGGAAATGCATTTAAAGTCATACAACTTTTATAGTTTTCTGAAAACAGGGCTACAGAAGCAATCTGCAGTTCTGGTCTTGGTGAAAAGATACAGTATGTCAAGCTCATTTTGAAAAATTAAAAACCTTGGCATCAAACGTGAATTCTGGAACAGGGAAAGAATGTCATCATTTGAGACACTTGTTTCAAAAACAAGTTGAAACCCTTTTCAGTGTCCAGACAGTCTTTTGTTCTGTGAATAAAGGCAGCTTCCAATTTTGAAGCTGCTGCCATGAAAGGAAGGTTGCAGTACAAAAAGCTATAAGCTTTTTAAGTTTTTCAGTATTAATACCATTTAGTAGTAGCAAATGAGGTGACTCAAAATTAAATATAAAAACCACCACTAAAATAAAACAGAAATGTACACTTCTCTTTATTTCTCACGTAATATAACATTTCTGAAGAAACAAAAATATGACAGTTTCAAGAATATGTAATTAAATGTTGTTATATTTTGAAATGCATTGATAACTATGTGTTTTAATGCTGTGAAAGGTTTTTAAATACTCGGGAGAAATATAAAATCCAGTGGATAATTAAATAAGGTACTATTTTCTTATTGGCATGAAAATATTAAATTTTCTAAGCATTTTTGGTTTGAAACTCCCCCCCCCCCAAAAAAAATGTACCTGTCTTGCTTACATATACCCTGAACACCAAGGGACCAGTTGAGTTTGTTTATAATATTAGGAAAGGAATGCAACTATGGCTCAATTATTCAATAGGCATATATTATCCTTGTATGACAAAAAAAGGAAAGAAGCAACATCTTTAATTTAAACACATAACAAACACAATAAATCAGTCCAAAATTTGCTTGCCCTAGCATTTGCCTCTCACAGTGGCTAATCATATGCCTATCAAATGGCAGCCATCTAAACAGAACAAGAGTGTCTTCCAATAATACCATCAAAACCAAAAACCAATGAGAGGGTCCATGAATTTATCTTACCTGCCTTTTTAAGTCAACCGAATTGGAAATCATCAGGGGGTGCTCTAATCAAAAGGGGCCTGCCTACCAGTTGGCATTATTCATCAGCTTTCATGCCATCAAAAAATTCACTATTTTCTGAATGATATCTCCAAACATTAGTTTTAGTATAATTACACATCAGTAAAAGAGAGGACTAACAAGATCCAACCTAGGAATAATGGAAGCCTAATTCAACTTGATTTGATCCATTATGGTCTTCACCATTCTTCCTAGAAAATATTCTTACAGTTTCAAGAGCTGTGGTGGCGCAGTGGTTAGAAGCAGTACTGCAGTGATTTGCTGATCACCGGCTGCCAGCAGTTTGGGAGTTTGAGTCTTATCAGCTTAAGGTTGACTCAGCCTTCCATCTTTCTGAGGTCGATAAAATGAGGACCCAGATTGTTGGGGGCAATAGGCTGACTCTGTAAACTGCTTATAGAGGGCTGTAAAGCACAGTGAAGCGGTATATGAATCTGTGCTATTGTAATTGGTATTCATTCCAAGTCAAAAGTGCCAGAAATTTTCATTTGTAAGGACATGAAACACGAGATTTTGGAAAGGGTCATAAAAGTGTCATAACGAAATGGATGGCTGCATTAACATTGTTTTTCCCTAATTTTGTACTTTCCAGGCGCAAGGCAATGAAAGGGAGGCTTTACTTCACAACCAAGGCTCAAAAGGGGGGGAAGATTATGATCAAAATCCATCCATGTTCTCGAATTTTCTGCTGCCGTATTTGTGGCTTTGAAGAGGTACAAAGAATATGAATATATGAACTGGTCGTAAAAAATCTGCACTGGGAACTTTGGGTCTCATGTTCCCCCCATTGCTATGTATATGCTGCAAGTCATTGACTTGGGCGAGAGACAGCTTCCTTCAATATCACATACTGACCATAGAAGAAATGAAAGCTCAGCTCAAAAAGAAAGTTCTGTCATCCCATTCACCTAGGCTGAGCTCATACCAAAGATAGGATTTGAACTTTGGACTTTGAAAGCATTATTTTTAGTGGGTAGCTGTGCTCAGTTAAGCTCTGAATGAATTTCTGTTCTTGTCTTAAAAAAGAAGATTGTAGCCATGCCACATTCTCATCACTTACACCATCATTTCTAAACCTGAGCCATGTTCGTACAAATAGAAAATCTGGAGGAGTTCAATCCTGGGAGTTGCTCAGTGATTGTCTCATCACAGCAATATCAAGGGATCATACAAGTAAACACATGTCACTTTTCAGTCTAAAAAGAAACCATGATGGGACAGGTTTTCTGGAGATAGTTCTAGAGAAAAGGCTCTCCCATGCTTTTTATCCCCATAACAGTAAACTTGTCTGGAGAGTTAGCCAAAAAGAATGACTGATGACCACGATGGGGACCTGAATGCCAGTACTATTCACCTGTTTAGCAATTATATAAAGGGAATTATCTGAATATCCTGGTAGCATTAAAAAAAACCAATAAAAAGCAAAAAGAGAAAAGGGTCTGATCAATTCCGGTACACTGGGTACTTAAAAGTGCCTCTAAGTTTCAGACTTGCACTAAAGTCAGGAATAAATTATGTTGATTAAAATAACATTTTCCTTTCTACCTTATTATAGGGCTCCCAAAGCAATTCACAGCTCAGTAAAAACTTTATAGATGGTAATACAGCTCTCTGCCTTTTCTGAAAGTCTGTTCCCCTTAGCACCATTGTGAGGACATTATAAGCTGATATGTCTTCCTGTTACTAAGCCGTTACGTACTTATATGGTTGTTGCTGCTTTTTTCATGTGGTGTCTGTCAGAAAGGTTTGCAGTTCCTCTCTCCCCCTTGCATTGACACACCTTCCTGGAACAACCAAGATATTTTTTTCTGGCTGCTAATATTGTTATTAGCAGTTACAGGAACTGGACATGGCTAGTCTAGTGAAGAGAAGGCCTAGGTGAGACATGATAGTAGTGTTCCAATATTTGAGGGGCTGCCACAGAGAAGAGGGGGTCAAGCTATTTTCCNTTTTTCCTTTAGCTGGCTATCTTCAATTTCATCAAATTTTGCTATATTACCATCTATATTTTCCAATTTCTTCTCAATTCTCTCTGATGTTTCTAATAATTTTTGAATTTCAAACATAATCTGTTGTTATGTTATGGTTTCATGCTGAATATCATGCTTCACACTATTCTAAGCTTTTTTTAGATATAGGCACATCATGGCATTTAAATAACTTTTTCAGTACCTTCATACCTTCTCTGTCAGATTTAATCTATGGCATATTTCTTGACTGCTTGTTACTTTGCTGCTGATTCTGAAAGGCAAAAGCCATGTACCATTTGGATACCTTCACCATCAGTTCTAAGGCCAGCTATTGTACCTGTTGTCAATAGTTTAGACTTCTTTGTATTTAATTTTAGTCTTTTTTTTTCAATGTGCTGCTTGACTTTTATTGCTAGCATTCTTTGCAGATTGAAGTTAGCATCATCAGCATAACGTAGCTATTAACATTTCTTCCTCCAATTTTAAAGCAACACTCTTCCAATCTTAATATACTATATATAGTGTTATATTATACTGTATATTCATCAAGTAGGTCAGCAGTCCCCAATCCTTCTGGCTGGGTGGACTAGTAGCAGCAGCAGGGCAGCAGTGACGGGAGGGAGGAGAGAATGGTTTTGCACGCACACCTGTCACTTGCACAAATGGAGCTTTGTGTGTTCACCCACCACTTGCATAGCCTGGTTCCCAATGAACCATGAACCGGTACCAATTCAAGAACCCCTGATGTAGATTGAATAAATAAGTAGAAAATCTTATCTCAATTATCCTCCTGGAGCCAGGCTATGTACATACTGTGACTTCTTGACTGGTGTATGGGGTTTTGTGTGAGAACAATGTTCTGGGAGTGACCATTTTTACAAGCACATTTACAGTGAATATCAGATCTTTGTTGTTCAATACTTTGATTATCTCTTCTGATAGTGAGGCTTATCCAAGCTGCACAGTGACCGGGGTCCAATTTTGCTCTGATGTTCGCAGATTGATGAAGCTGGATTCAGAAAGGTAGGCTATCAAAAGTCTTGCTTAGAGCTGAGCTGTTCTGAGCCCCTTAGAATATGTGGAGGAAAATGTCCTGGGATCTCTGTGCATCAGGATCATGCTAGAGGGGTCATGCATTGGAATCATGCTAAAAAAAGACGATAATAATAACCACCATTGTAAAAAATGTCATAACCTTTCTTCATCTCTTGAAGAGGCAAAAAGGAAAGTAGTTTCTTGTCCTTTGTTCAAGAAACATTTTTTTTAACCTGGTATGATTTAGCCATGTATTTACACCCTTATAATATAAATGCCACAACAGAACCCATTAATTCTGTTTCCTCTGCCTCTCATTTTTGCATTATTTTTATCCAAGTAATTCACTTCAGATTCTATATTAATCTGCTATTTTTTTAAAAAAAACTTATCAAAATATATATTTAATACATTGGATCATTTTATTTTATTTATTGTTCTTTTAAAAGAACCCTGCATTTCAGGTTATAATTCACTAGATTGAATACTTCGGAGTTAAAAAATACCAATTCATAAAAAGGGTCAGCTTAGTGAAATGATTGAAAGCACTAAGCTAGTAACACAGAGTGAGATGCTAGCTTTGCCTTAGGCACAAAATCAGCTTGGTTGATTTTGGGCAAGACTTTTGCTATCAACCTGAGGAACTAGGAAATGGCAAACCGTTTCTGAAAAATCTTGCCAAGGAAATTGCAGAGACTTAAAGGAACAAAAAATGATAATATATCTGGAAATGCATTTAAAGTCATACAACTTTTATAGTTTTCTGAAAACAGGGCTACAGAAGCAATCTGCAGTTCTGGTCTTGGTGAAAAGATACAGTATGTCAAGCTCATTTTGAAAAATTAAAAACCTTGGCATCAAACGTGAATTCTGGAACAGGGAAAGAATGTCATCATTTGAGACACTTGTTTCAAAAACAAGTTGAAACCCTTTTCAGTGTCCAGACAGTCTTTTGTTCTGTGAATAAAGGCAGCTTCCAATTTTGAAGCTGCTGCCATGAAAGGAAGGTTGCAGTACAAAAAGCTATAAGCTTTTTAAGTTTTTCAGTATTAATACCATTTAGTAGTAGCAAATGAGGTGACTCAAAATTAAATATAAAAACCACCACTAAAATAAAACAGAAATGTACACTTCTCTTTATTTCTCACGTAATATAACATTTCTGAAGAAACAAAAATATGACAGTTTCAAGAATATGTAATTAAATGTTGTTATATTTTGAAATGCATTGATAACTATGTGTTTTAATGCTGTGAAAGGTTTTTAAATACTCGGGAGAAATATAAAATCCAGTGGATAATTAAATAAGGTACTATTTTCTTATTGGCATGAAAATATTAAATTTTCTAAGCATTTTTGGTTTGAAACTCCCCCCCCCCCAAAAAAAATGTACCTGTCTTGCTTACATATACCCTGAACACCAAGGGACCAGTTGAGTTTGTTTATAATATTAGGAAAGGAATGCAACTATGGCTCAATTATTCAATAGGCATATATTATCCTTGTATGACAAAAAAAGGAAAGAAGCAACATCTTTAATTTAAACACATAACAAACACAATAAATCAGTCCAAAATTTGCTTGCCCTAGCATTTGCCTCTCACAGTGGCTAATCATATGCCTATCAAATGGCAGCCATCTAAACAGAACAAGAGTGTCTTCCAATAATACCATCAAAACCAAAAACCAATGAGAGGGTCCATGAATTTATCTTACCTGCCTTTTTAAGTCAACCGAATTGGAAATCATCAGGGGGTGCTCTAATCAAAAGGGGCCTGCCTACCAGTTGGCATTATTCATCAGCTTTCATGCCATCAAAAAATTCACTATTTTCTGAATGATATCTCCAAACATTAGTTTTAGTATAATTACACATCAGTAAAAGAGAGGACTAACAAGATCCAACCTAGGAATAATGGAAGCCTAATTCAACTTGATTTGATCCATTATGGTCTTCACCATTCTTCCTAGAAAATATTCTTACAGTTTCAAGAGCTGTGGTGGCGCAGTGGTTAGAAGCAGTACTGCAGTGATTTGCTGATCACCGGCTGCCAGCAGTTTGGGAGTTTGAGTCTTATCAGCTTAAGGTTGACTCAGCCTTCCATCTTTCTGAGGTCGATAAAATGAGGACCCAGATTGTTGGGGGCAATAGGCTGACTCTGTAAACTGCTTATAGAGGGCTGTAAAGCACAGTGAAGCGGTATATGAATCTGTGCTATTGTAATTGGTATTCATTCCAAGTCAAAAGTGCCAGAAATTTTCATTTGTAAGGACATGAAACACGAGATTTTGGAAAGGGTCATAAAAGTGTCATAACGAAATGGATGGCTGCATTAACATTGTTTTTCCCTAATTTTGTACTTTCCAGGCGCAAGGCAATGAAAGGGAGGCTTTACTTCACAACCAAGGCTCAAAAGGGGGGGAAGATTATGATCAAAATCCATCCATGTTCTCGAATTTTCTGCTGCCGTATTTGTGGCTTTGAAGAGGTACAAAGAATATGAATATATGAACTGGTCGTAAAAAATCTGCACTGGGAACTTTGGGTCTCATGTTCCCCCCATTGCTATGTATATGCTGCAAGTCATTGACTTGGGCGAGAGACAGCTTCCTTCAATATCACATACTGACCATAGAAGAAATGAAAGCTCAGCTCAAAAAGAAAGTTCTGTCATCCCATTCACCTAGGCTGAGCTCATACCAAAGATAGGATTTGAACTTTGGACTTTGAAAGCATTATTTTTAGTGGGTAGCTGTGCTCAGTTAAGCTCTGAATGAATTTCTGTTCTTGTCTTAAAAAAGAAGATTGTAGCCATGCCACATTCTCATCACTTACACCATCATTTCTAAACCTGAGCCATGTTCGTACAAATAGAAAATCTGGAGGAGTTCAATCCTGGGAGTTGCTCAGTGATTGTCTCATCACAGCAATATCAAGGGATCATACAAGTAAACACACGTCACTTTTCAGTCTAAAAAGAAACCATGATGGGACAGGTTTTCTGGAGATAGTTCTAGAGAAAAGGCTCTCCCATGCTTTTTATCCCCATAACAGTAAACTTGTCTGGAGAGTTAGCCAAAAAGAATGACTGATGACCACGATGGGGACCTGAATGCCAGTACTATTCACCTGTTTAGCAATTATATAAAGGGAATTATCTGAATATCCTGGTAGCATTAAAAAAAACCAATAAAAAGCAAAAAGAGAAAAGGGTCTGATCAATTCCGGTACACTGGGTACTTAAAAGTGCCTCTAAGTTTCAGACTTGCACTAAAGTCAGGAATAAATTATGTTGATTAAAATAACATTTTCCTTTCTACCTTATTATAGGGCTCCCAAAGCAATTCACAGCTCAGTAAAAACTTTATAGATGGTAATACAGCTCTCTGCCTTTTCTGAAAGTCTGTTCCCCTTAGCACCATTGTGAGGACATTATAAGCTGATATGTCTTCCTGTTACTAAGCCGTTACGTACTTATATGGTTGTTGCTGCTTTTTTCATGTGGTGTCTGTCAGAAAGGTTTGCAGTTCCTCTCTCCCCCTTGCATTGACACACCTTCCTGGAACAACCAAGATATTTTTTTCTGGCTGCTAATATTGTTATTAGCAGTTACAGGAACTGGACATGGCTAGTCTAGTGAAGAGAAGGCCTAGGTGAGACATGATAGTAGTGTTCCAATATTTGAGGGGCTGCCACAGAGAAGAGGGGGTCAAGCTATTTTCCCAAGCACCCGAAGGCTAGACAAGGAATAATGGATAGAAACTGACCAAGGAGAGATTCAACCTAGGAATAAAGAGGAACTTTCTGACAGTAAAAACAATCAACCAATGGAACAGCTTGCCTTCAGAAGTTGTGGAGCTTCATCACTGGAGGTTTTCAAGAGGAGATTGGACTGCCATTTGTCAGAAATGGTGTGGGATCTCCTGCTTTAGCAGGGGATTGGACTAGATGATCAACAAGGTCCCTTCCAACTCTTAATCTGTTAAAACTGTTATGAATCTGGTCATAGATTCTCTTATCACAAGAAGCATCATTTGTTTATCCTCTTGGTGGAAATGCTCGGATTAATCCATCAAATATCATTTCACATTCTTTCCCAATGTATTATTTGGAGAGACAACCAATGAAAGCTGCCTCTGGGAGAATATAGGAAGTTTGTTGACCCCCTCCAGCATTTATTCTAGCAAACACTTTAAAATCAATGAAAAAAAAGAAGTAAATTAAATTTATTTCTTTTTGATTAGGTGGATGCTGAGCAGTACTATGGGGAGCTAGAGGAGAAACTGACAGATGAGTTTAATGCTGAACGCAGCCGGATTGCTCTCAAGCGCCTTGACATGGCCTTCGTCACATTCCAGGATGAAAGAATGACAGCCACGTGAGTCTTCCTACTACAAGCCTTTATTATCTAAGGCTAAGAAGCCAATGGATGGGCAATGGAATCTTTGCAGTACTTCAAAATTAGCAGTAGGCTTCTACCACAATTGAGACCGAAGGAAAATTTAGAGAAGATTTTTTTTTCAAACTTTATGATGTGTGGAGATTCCTCCTTTTTTTTTATTCTGGAACTATTTGATGGGTGCAATTGAGTCATATTACATGTCTGACTTAAATCTCCCTTAATATTTAAGATCAGATGTCCATCTGGGGGCATTAAGCTGCTTCTTAAATCTTATAGTGTCATACATTAAAGAGCATAGTTTATTTTATGTTATGCCTGAATCTCTATAAACGTGTAAGTCTGTTGAGTGACATTTGCAAAAGATTGAAGTGATATAAATATGTTAAACAAAAAAAAAAAAAAAAAAAGAAACTGGTAGCTAACCACATACATAAAACTGTTGAGCTGGATAGAGCAATCAATGTGATTTTTTTCTTATTCCAACACAAACAAGAGCAACCTGGCTAGTTAATTCCTGCTCTTGATTTTTCTTTGGTTTCCCAGTATTTTGAAGGATTACAGCCGCATCCGTTGCCGCAAACACCCACAACAGTCATCTGTTACTACAGTGGTGAAATCCCATTGCTGGGGAGTCAGCTATGCCCCTGCGCCCAATGACATCATCTGGTAAATTCTGTTTGTTCTTCCCGAGCTTGGATTTCTGTAGTGTAAAAAAACCTTTGAAATGTGAAGTTCTCCCATTATGATTGTTTATGTTTCTTTATTAGCCATGGAGGTGGGAGGGCTGATTGTTATAAAATAGTCTAGCATATTTCAGGAGAAATTAGCTTTTGAAAGCATGCCTAGGAGTGGCACCAAGTACAAAAGAAATATTGAACAAATCCTTACATTAGTTGTAAATATTGGCGAATACAGTGTTTAGTAGAGGAGTTAGTAACACAACAATCTTAGATTTTAGGCAGTATAGTGATAGTAATGATTTTTGTGTGTGTGTATGTTCATATGACTTTGGTTGTTATTTTCTTATATTGTCAAAGTCTACAAATTGTCCACTGGTGGGCAATGCGCCCTAAAGGAATTACCATATTTTTCAAAGTATAAGACGCACCCCCCGCCAAAAAGAGGGTGAAAATCTGGCTGTGTCTTATACACTGAATACACCATTTTTGGCCTCCTGAAATCCCCCCCCCCCCCCGTTCATCCCATTTTCACAAAAATGGACGCACAGAGGGTTTGGGAGGTCTGCAAAGTGCTCCTGAGGGCCGGGAAGGGCAAAAACTAGCAAAAATTGAGCCTTTTTTTTTTTTTTACAAAAGCAGGGCTGTTTTTGCCTTCCCAAGCCCCCGGGAGCCCTCTGCAGGCCTTCCAAACTCTCTGCACGCCCCTTTTTTTGCACAAAACGTGCCTGTTTTTGTAAAAAAACCAGGTCATTTTTTGTCCTTCCCAGCACTCCAGGAGCACTCTGCAGCCCCCCCCACCCTCTGCAGGCCCTGTTTTTCGCCTCCCACCTCGCCACCCCCAGTGTTGCGTTTTTTGCCCTCCCCGGCCCCCAGGAGCACTTTGCAGGCCTCTCAAACTCTTTGCATGCACCTTTTTCACTAAAAATGGGCCATGCAGAGGGTTTGGGAGGCCTGCAGAATACTTCTGAGGGCCAGGGAGGGCAAACACTTTTTAAAAAAATTACCTCTTCAAATTTTGTGTGTCTTATAGTCCAAAAAATACTTTCCATAAACAAATTTTGCCCTCAGACTAGTTTAAAAAGAGAAACAATAAGTACTTAATTCAGAAGAAGTCATCTAGTCCCAATTTGTTGTGAAAGATTATAAATTTTCAAGTGCACAATTTGTAGTTTTTAAACGTGTATTGTGATCTATGTACAAGTCCCAAAAGGACAGGTGGTGGAACCTTTATTTCGAGTCAAGCCCTAACGTATTGATATTGTTTCCGTGCCTTAGTTGCACATAACCAAAACCTCTGCTTTCTTTCTCACAGGGAGAATTTATCTATTGGTGGTCCTTTGTGGTGGGTGAAATTTATCCTGCTCAACATTTGCCTTTTCCTCCTCCTCTTCTTCCTCACTACTCCAGCCATCATCGTGAACACCATGGACATGTTCAACGTTACACGGCCTGTGGAGAGCCTTAAGGTGCATAGCAGAGTTGTAGTCTATCCTTACTGACCCTGAAGCCTGATTTCAGGCAGGATAACATCTCACTCCCAGTCCTTTGGGTCTTCTTACGCCATGCTTATCCTCATTCCACACTCCATGTGATCCTACTCACTTACCTGCTAGGTAGACAGTGATAATTGCACTAGCAAGATTTTTTAATAATTAAATTCTGCCTGGGTGGACAACTCTGTCCAAGAGGTCACCAGCAGCATACAAGACAATAAGGCACTGCAGGAGGTCAAAAATGTATAGAATTGTAAATAATTAAATCTCCAAATGGGAACTAAAGAACCTTTAGATACAAAGCATGGAGTCTATAGAGTAGCTTCTCCTTCTCCCAGGATCAGCTGAACATCCTGATCAGTTCACAGGTGAGGAACAAATTAGTGTTGCCAGTAATCTGTGCTGCTTGTAGGGATAGGAAAATGGCAATTAGCACTAGGTTTATTACCACTGGAAGGAAGGAAGGAGAAAGCTCCATAGCTTCCCTTACTGATTACTTTCTCAAGAAGTAGACTTCTGCTGCCCCCCCCCCGCCCCACACACACAGCTTAGAGCAGAAAACTGGTGAGCTACAAATGGGGTGGCTAGGATGAAGAAAGATCTCGTGACTTGTCCCTCACTACAAAGGAGGAAAATTTGCTTTTTCTCTTCCCCCAACCACGCCCTGCAGGGGTGTGTGTAGTATAGTGCATAGAGGTATGCGTGAACACAGAGGCTCACTCTTATGTTTCCACCTGAGCAGTTGAGCGCCAGAGTCAGAAAGATTATCCTGATTTAGAAACTTGATGCTGCCTCTTCAATGCAGGCTATAACTTTAGTTTAGAGTAGCAGAATGACTTAATAATGAATGTACTGTTGGAATAGTATATGTTCGTGATGGCGAACCTATGGCGCGCATACCACAGGTGGCAGGCAGAGCCCTATCTCCGGGCCTGCGAGCTGTTGCCCTAGGGTCAGATCCAGCTGTGCGTGATGGCCAGCTGACTTTCGGCCTTCCAGAGGGCCAGGGGAAGCCATTTTCACCCTCCCCAGATTTCAGGAAAGTCTCCAGAGCCTGGGGAAGGCAAAAAACGGACCCAGCGTACCTACTGGAAGTTCGGAAATGATCCATTTCCAGCTTTTGGAGGGCCTCCAGGGGGCCCAGGGAGGCCATTTTGCCCCACCCCCAGGCTTCAGGAAAGCATCCGGAGCCTGCTAGGCCCCAAATCAGGTGGGATCATGGGGGCATGCGGGGGGGAGAAGCGGGGGGGATGCGCACATGCTCGGGGGAGTGCAAGGTGGCATTAAATTATGGATGTGGGCACATGGGCACATGCACATATGCACACTTTTGGCACCCAAGCCAAAAAAGGTTAGCCATCACTGATATATGTGATCTCCTCCTGTATGGAAAGAAAGAAAGAGCTGTGACCGAAACTATTCAGTGTGAATCTAATTCTCATCCTTTCCTCCTGAATTTGCCTCTATTGCATCACAGTTATAGGTAGTCTTTGACTTACAACCATTTGTTCAAAATTCCGACAATGCTAAAATCAGAGATGCATAACTGGTCCTCACACTTATGATCGTTACAGCATCTTCCTCGTGTAATTTATGTACATGACAACTTGCATATATTTATGATGGTTGCCATGTCTCACAGTCATGTGATCCTGCTTTATGACCTTCCCCTGCCAGCTTCCGACAAGGAAAGTCAATTGGGAAAGCTGGATTTGCTTAATGACTGTGGTAAAAATAGTCATCGAGTTGGGTCTGGTCATGTTTTAAAATAGAAACAATGGAATTTTCCAGTGGTTAGGTGTTTTTTTTTAAGGAATCTCATTTTGAAAGTTCTTTAATAAGAAATGGATATCAATTGCAAATACAGTGATACCTTGGTACTCAACTGTTTGGAAACCCATCAAATTTGGTGTTTGGATACAAAAAATTTGTCCTGATAGTCATTGTTTGTCTGATACTCAGAACACAAGCTGGAACTTGTCAGTGTTGGCTACCTTGTGGCTCACTACATTATTCATTATGGGGAAAAAACTTATTTGGCACTCATCATTTTTGGTACTCATCATACCTCCCAGAACCAGTGAATGATGAGTACCAAGGTACCACTGTACTGTTAGGCAACTTTATTTATTCAGAATATAGCAACATAGCAAATAACATGAAGACAGATGTTAGATCAGATGTTAATCAGAAAATTTTCCAGTGCAAACAAAACATTGTGGTACAAGATTACATTTTTCTCTACGCATGTTAGAGTCTGTGACAACTAGTTTAATTTCATCAGAACATTTTCCACTTCAAACTATTCCAATAAATCAAACCTCATTAGTTGTAATCCGCAAACCAGAAACAGAGGAAGAAAAGAAGCTTAGGCTGAGCTACCAAGCAAAAGAAAGAACACTTCTTAGAACTTTCTTGGAGGTTGTATGGAGAAAAAGTTCCTGCATCAGGATTCCAAGTAACGCCCCTAACGAAAGAAGACTCCGAGGCTTGAGTTTCCTCAGTTCCCTTTGATTAAAGATGTCATATTGGCACATCTGGGAAAACCCGAATCTGAAAGCTTTCAGGTTTTCCCCACCCAATTGAAAGTTCAAGACTCTGCCCAGCACTCTCATGTCCATCACATGGTCCAATAAGGCCCAGTCCCAACTGGAGATGCCTCCCAGTCACACCATTTCAGATGCAAGGCAAGATGTCCTTGACACTCTGAGAAAGGAATGTTGTTATGACTATATATCTCCCATACTCCATGTAATCCCCCCCTCCCATTTCCCCACAGCATTAAATGTAGCAGGCCTGAAGGCCCAATGCAAAAGGTGGCTTCCAGGCCTGGCATCCTGTTTTGGAAAAACACTCGACTTATCCCCTTTTTCTTTCACCTTCCAGAACCCTATTGTGACTCAATTCTTCCCCACTCTGCTGCTGTGGGCTTTTTCTGTGTTTCTGCCTTTCATTGTGTACTACTCATCTTTCTTCGAATCACATTGGACAAGGTAATTCCAATTTCCTTTTGCTACATTTCCAAAGTTTCTCTGGGAATCTACCTTGCCATGGCAATGAATAAAAAAAAGATAAAACATTTAGGGGGCACAGAGGATCCAGGAATTTATTGCTTTGATTTAATTTTTGTCATATTTCCATTGCACCTATATTTGGAAACATTCTGAATAAACCATTTCTTACTCAGCATTGAGGCATTTACTTTATTTCTGTGATTCACTCTTCCTTTCTGGGAACTGTGGCCTCCTTCTAGAATAGGGGTGTCAAACTCGATTTCATTGAGGGCTGCATCAGGGTAGTGTTTGACCTTGTGGGGAGGGCAGGGTGTGTGTGGCCATCTTGATATCACTCGTGTCAAGGGTGCCTGTGGTGGCCTGTGCGCTCTGCCAGCAAAAACAGGCTCTCAATCTTCATTTTCAGCTGGGCAGCCTGCAACCCTCTTCCAGGGAAAATGGAGCTCGGGAGGGCTGCATGCGGCCCTCCCAAGTTCCCTTTTCCCTGGCAGAGAGTTGCAGGAGGCCATTCCAGCCGAAAACGAAGATTGGAAGCCTGTTTTTGCTGGCAAAGGCACCAGAGGCCAGTCCTTTGCTGTTTCCAGGGCAACCCCATGGGCCAGATCTAAGCACCCTGTGGGCCGGATCTGTCCGGTGGGCCTTGAGTTTGACACCCGTGTTTTAGAACAAAAAGTAAGCAAAACAAAATTGTTTAACCAAAATTAACTCAGGAAAGGCAAATAGGCACAAATGCTTATTTGTGACAATTTTCTAGTGAAAACATTTTGGAACATTTTATTGATGGTGTAACACAGTGGTTCTCAACCTTCCCAATGCCGTGACTCTTTAATACAGTTCCACATGTTGTGGTGAACCCCAACCATAAAATTGATGTCTCAGTTCCTAAGACCATCGAAAATATGTATTTTCCGATGGTCTTAGGCAACCCCTGTGAAAGGGTCATTCGACCCCCAAAGGGATCCCGACCCACAGGTTGAGAACCACTGGTATAACATTTTAAATCCTCTCCTCTTTTTGAAGCTGCTGCTCTCCCTCCATCTCCCAAATAAATGCGTTTTTGTTTCCTTTAGGTCAGGTGAAAATCAGATCACAATGCACAAGTGTTATTTCTTTCTGGTATTTATGGTTATCATCTTACCTTCACTTGGACTGACCAGGTAAAGAGAAAAAATTGCAAATGCTCTATATTGATCTGGTTTTCATTAGGAATAGCTCATGTTAATACAATGGAACTGGTTTTTTTTTTAAAGCACTAAGCTGAGTGTGGTGGTAAGGGTAATGTGTTGGTTGGCCCTGGATGCAGACCCTCCTCCTGATAATTGTCTCCTCACCTCTTTGATATAGTGCCCATATCAAATTACATATTATTAAATTAGCTGGGCAGTACTTTAATGGGTAGTTTCAGACAAGGGTTTATTGTTATGGACACATTACTTACACTGTAATGGAGTGTGGTTTCAGATGGGCTTAACGGAAATAAAACTGTTCCAGTCATGTTTGCCTACAAAAGATGTGGGCTTGTCCTTCCTGCAGTTTCATTCCTCACATAGTATTAAACCAATCCTTCATAGCTCGGTGGCCTTCCCTAAATTGTTCACATCCTTGACTGGGTATGCAGACAGGCAAAATGTTCCAGTATGATTTTGTTAACAGATAAGCTAAATAATTAGCACTGTCTCATAGGAATAGTTCATGTAGATATTCAATGGGTTTGTTCACGTTTCCAAATTAGCCATTGATATTATTTTAACTTGAAACATCTGTTCAATAGCATGACAGCATTTACCTTTTAATAAAATTTGTAGTCTGAAAAGGCACTGTCAGATTCGTTCTGATATTGTGCTGTGTTAGAGATGAAGGTCTTTTACAATGAGAAGAGAGGCTGCTTCACACCATCTCCACAAACTCACTCATCCCCCAGTTGTCCCACCTGTTCTTTCACATTTGTAAGAACTGCATCTTCCTGCACTGAAATATTAATTGCTACCTTTCCTTTGACCACAACGTCATGTCTGCTTTCGCTAATTGAAAAGGGTTAAATTAGCTTGGTTGCACCTCACTGAAGAAATTGTTCCCATCCTCAAGCTGCATAAACTGAAATATGCCCCATTTCTATTGAACCAGCAGGGTTCAGGTGTGGGTATTTGTTTAAAAAAAGTAACAACCTTATGATCCTTGCTGTTTTTCTTTGTTTCCCCTTCCCAGTTTGGATCTCTTCTTTCGGTGGCTGTTTGACACTCACTTTGTGGATCAAGCACAGATAAAATTTCAGTAAGTATTACTGAACATTTTGAGTATGTTGCCAGATGGGTCACCAATTTTAATTTGTGAAGACTGCATATGGCCTTTCTCAAGATATACTTCTGTTATATTATGCTGTCTCTTTCTCTGTTTCTTATGCACACTTTCCTGGATTTTTTTTTAATGCAGGTGTGTTTTTCTCCCTGATAATGGAGCTTTCTTTGTCAACTATGTTGTCACTTCCAGCCTGATTGGGACAGCCATGGAACTGTTGCGAATCCCTGGGCTCATTGTCTATGCCACGCGGCTCTGCTTTGCCAAATCTGAACCTGAGCGCCTCCACATCAAGCGGGTCTGCTGGGTTTTTATTTTGGACATTTGAAACCTTGCTTGTAGGATTAGAAGACTATGTAACCTGAGTGACTAGGATTATGTACGAATAGATTATATCCAGCAATACTCTTTAAAATGGTACCGTAAATCTCTAGATTTCACCTAGTGAAACTGAGAGTTTTTATGGAGCAAGAACCTCATGAAATGTTTGAAAGCAGACAGTGTTTAGTCATGACTTGTTTTCTTTAGCCCAGTAAATTCCCCTTCTTATTTAAACATAATGTTAAGCCACTAGTGCATTGTTTATGTCTTAGCAAGATGTATCTGGCCTCTCCCATCATGGATTAGCATTATTGCAACGCAATCTTTGTAGCATGATTCAAACTATGAACAGAAACATCCTACTTTAGTTTTGGGCATGAGTTTAGCAATGACATGATACAATTCACAAGAACTACCTTTCAAGCAAGTTTGGCTTAGGGAAGGCATGGAGTCATACATAGTTTGTTCAGTGAAGAAGTTAGGCTTATTTGTTTTTCATTGTAAACCATTAAGAGCTGTGATTTTGAAATGGTTTAATAACAGAGTTGTTATCAAGAGTTGATAATATGTGCCAGTCAATATCCACAAATCCCTCCCTCTATCCTAGATAGTATTTCTGGATCCCCTAAAATTAAATAATTTAAAATGTATACTTAAATTATTGAAATCTTGTGAAATTACTAGAACCATTTTTTAAAAGTTGTGTGAGAGTTGTCACCTGAAAAAAGGGTAAACTCTGCCTAAAGAAAACAAACTACTGTTAGCTGTGCACAGGACCCCCGGAATGGGGCAGCTCGCTGCAGCCAGCTCACCCTGGCTAACTTGCTGCAGGATAACTCACCACTGCCAACTTGCCACAGGCCAGCTCGCCGCAGGACGATTTTGACAGTTTGACAATTTCAATTTAATTATTTAAAATAAATAAAAAATATTCTAATTTTTGTCATTCACATTTCGTTCTGTCCCTCCTTTTGCATCCTTTCTTTAATGCTTCCATTCCACCATACTAGTGTAACTTTTGTCCTGCAGCGAATTGTCCCATGGCCAGTTGGGTGTAGCAAGCTGTCCTGCGACAAATTGGCTGCGGTAAGTTGGCCATAACAATTTGGCTGTGGCTAGTTGGCCACAGTGATTAGAGCCCAGGACCTTGAGACTGCTCTCCCATCCCATCACCATTCATTTATCTTCATGCATAATAAAATTAAAGGTAAGATGGGCTACTGTGTTTTCCCTCCCCAGAATCAAGCCTATGAGTTCCAGTTTGGACTGGAGTATGCCTGGACTTGCTGCATATTTGCTGTAGTGATGACATATAGTATCACCTGCCCCATTATTGTCCCCTTTGGTAAGTAGATACACAATTTCTTCAAAATTCCTGCTGTTGCCAATAACATCTTTGTAAGTCTGGAGCCTGGCTGATTGCAATTTAAGGCAATAAAACAAACCACTATAAAACAAACAAATACAAGCCATGGCTCTTGTGGACCTTTGGGATGATCTCTCTTAATGGATTTCTGTAAATGGAATCAAACAGCTATTGTTGTAGAGACCTGTTGGCCTATAAAATAGAAAAGCAGTGAAATGTACTTTATTCTGTTTATTTCTAATAGACAGTAGCCTTGTGAAATGCTGTACAAAATAATATAGAAATGATAGCTAAGTAGCAGTAATTTCTCCAAATAAGAATTCTTTAGGGCAAAAAGTGGGATTTCAATACATTGCAATAATTTTAAAATATGCTATTAAGAAACACATTGCTGGATTTCTGTTTGCTGACATTTATACCTTTTACACCTTTTTTAAGCCACAGGAGATATGATTGGAACAATGAGTTTTCTGCTACCCTTTCTCTCTGTGCCATTTTTCTGATAGCCTATCCTACTCCAGAATTGCTATTTGCTACGAAAAAAATAGCTATTTCTATAATAGTTTTAATGGGCTTGGAGGGACAGGATTGTTATTTTTGCCAAGAAAGTGGTATAGCAAGAAGCAGGTAAATTCTTCCTCCTTTGATATTAATCTAAAACAAAAGTCCTAATAGGAAATAAATAAAAATGCAAACATGAAACCACAAATTTATCATATTCTCTAGGCTGTCCCTGATTATTGATATAATTGACCACATGGAATGGATTCTTATGCAAAAGAAGAGTTACAGAACATAAATACAAGATGAGGATGTTGTGTTGATAGAGTATAATACAGCTGTTGGAGTCCTTTACTCAAGATTATTTTTCCAGCACAATTCCTTGATAATATTTCAAATGTCACTAATGAATAAATCCTTTGCATGCAAGCAGAGTTTGTGCAATAGGGATGCGGTGGCTCAGTGGCTGAGACGCTGAGCTTGTCAGTCAGAAAGGTCGGCGGTTCGAATCCCTAGTGCCGCATAATGGAGTGAGTTCCCGTTATTCTCATCCTCCCAGCTATTGCTGTCTCCTCCAAGTGGCCATTCTCCATGCCCCAATTCTTCCATCTCTATTCACCCAGGTTTGCTGTACATGCTACTGAAGCACATGGTTGACCGCTACAATATTTACTACGTCTACATCCCTACCAGGCTGAACCACCGCATCCATTTGGCAGCAGTAAACCAGGTGGTGACAGCGCCGATTCTCTGCATGTTTTGGCTGCTCTTCTTCTCCATTCTGCGTCTAGGCAAGTGAAGTTTCATTGAGCCTTCTGTGAGCTGTACTTGGGTTAGTTAGCTTACACCAACTGTCTCCAATCTTGTATCCTCCAATTTATGGGACTGAAATTCTAGCTAAACTGCTTGGAAAATATGGAGAATTAGAGTCAATTCAGCTGGAGAAAAGCAAGATGGGAAAGTCCTCAAGTCAATGGTTTGTTCTGTTATTTAGGTGGGACTATTACAGCTAAGCTCTTGGACCTCTTGATACTAGGAATCCAGAGTTATGATTGTTATACATCTGAGACTGGAAACTCTTCAGTTTTTCTATATTAGTGGTTTAGAACTAAGGTGGCAATTCACCAGCTATCATTTCACACACGTTGAAAATGTAAGGAGTTCCTGCCAGATACATGTTAATATGCATATGCCAAAAACTGAATAGTCTCTGTGGACTTGGTGGTGAAAAAGATGATCTCCTGCTATTACAGGAAACTGCACATACATTGCACAACTGATCTCAAAATGAATTAAGGCAATTGACAATTAGATAGCACTTGAGTTAAAGGGAAATTCATGCATGTAATTTGGCACAGAGCTGCATCATTCATTTCTCGTGTTCTTCATGGCATGCTGTAATCGGCACTAGGAATAACCTTGAGGAAGAGGAGAAAGAACCACAGCCAAGTCAGTGGTCAGATAAAAGAAACCCAAGCCTGGGCCAGAAAAGTGATTTAAGTAAGCATCTCAGGGATGACACTCCCTAGTTGTCATTAAGACTGTTACACACAACTTTGGCTTTTAAAGAGCCAGAGTGGCTAGCATAACCCTGGACCAAAAACAACTCTCTGAAGCACAAAAAGGAGAGCGCAAATCAGCAGCATCCGAGGTGGTCCAAAACTAAGCATCCTGTTGTCTTGGGTTGGGCTTGAGGGCTCATAGCAACGAAATTTAGCATTTGTACAGAAAATGCAGAAGGGAAGCCAGTGTAAAGTATTGGGGGAAAAGGGAAGATTCTCAGAAGCGTACAGCATATTTCCACTACTTTACTTCTAATATACTGGCAGTCCTTCTTTAGTGACTGCCTCATTTAGAGACCATTTGCAATTACAACAGTGATGAAAAAAAAGTAACTTTATAACCAATCCTCGCATTTACAACCATTGCAGGTCTGAAAAGCAAAGGAAAGCCAAGGTGGATCATTAGCACAATTGCAGTTTCACTAGCAACTAAATTATTTAATGACTGAATTGCTGTTGCCAAGTGTGGTTGCTAAATGAGGACTACTGCCAAATGTTTAGATCTAGAAATCCCTAATAAGTCCACAGCATATGTGCACCTTTAAATGAGGTCTACAAGTTTGCATTTCAAATAGTTTATTGGGAATTGGGGGAAATGGGAACACAACTGAGCTGTCCTTTCGCAGCTCATTTTAGTGAGCAGCTAGAATGGCACTGTGGTGCAGAAGGAAGCACTACTTCTTAAATGGTATAATAGTCATACCTGAGCATATGAAAGGCATATTTAAAGTGGTACATCAATTTATACCCTTGGCAGGTTTGTACAGAATAGGGAGGTAATAATCAAAGCTTAATTTTAGAAGCAATAATCAGAGGTATGTAGATCTTGCAGATGGGATGGGCTTTCTTTCTAACACAAAAGGCCCCTGGGCTCCCAGCTGCAAGTCTACCATGAACTGTAGGTAGAAGAGGAAGTGAGAATGGGTGCATTGTGCCAATCTGTTTCTCTCTTCCCTAATGCTGTAGGTTCTGTTCGTCCTATCACTATTTTCACCTGTGTGGTTCTTCTCTGCTGCATTCCCTTTTCCTTCTTTGGTCTGTGCCTGAAGAAGTTTCATCCAAGGAAACCTTCCAGTTATCAGGTAACAGTGCACTCATTTCTTGGCTTGTATCCAATGGGACACCTTCATGGATCAGTCTTTCTTTCCCACCAGTCCCCAAATCTATTCCAGAACTTGAGAGTATCTCTGGAGCCAATTTGGTGAGACATGAAGGAAGGAGAAAAACAAAGGAAACTTTTATTGTGCAAGTGGAAATCAGCTGACATAATATTGGATCTTTGGGGCTGTTTCTTAACATTGTGACCAGTTGCCACTAAAGAGGCAAAGCATGAAGACATGGTTCTAATTTTAATTTCTGGATGTAATATTACATAGCTAACTATTATTTTATAACTATTCTCCCCCTGCTTTTCCCCCTCGGTTTTCCTCTAATGCAGTTCTGGGATGAATGCCCCATCTATTCCTAAAAAGTTAGAAATCCACTATTAACAGATGTATGCACTGAGTATGCCAAATGACACATTGATGATAAAAATCTTTAAAGACAGAAAAGCGCCTACAGGTCCAGAACTCCTACCGTTTCCGTTCTAAGAAGCAATTTTTTATGTTCTCAGTGAAATTGTCAAAAGTTCAAACAATTATGTTTTTCTTGTAACTTCGTGGTTCCCAAACATCTCAGAAAGTTAATGGAGTTCCAGCTAATTACAAAAAGTAATTATAAAAAGTTTGATATAAAGTATCAGACTTGTCTAAATGTGTAAGTCGATAGGCATTACTGTTTCTATGGGAAATTTCTGGATTGTTTACCTTCTAGCATTCCTTTTTGGCTATATTCGTTTTCTATACATTATTTTTGTCATACTGCATAAAGCATAGTTTGAATCACACACAAGTTTTCTTTCTTTTTAAATTTCAAGTCAGTGTAGTATTCCTAAAATAGATAATTTTTCTCCCAAATGTGGTTAACATGCGCTTTCTTCTTCCATTCTGTTTATCTTCTTTGTTTATCAGAGGTTTAGAATGCAACATACCAATGATTGTCCAGCCCCTTTTCTTCCTCACAACTATTTTTGTGAGACAGTTTATCATTAAAACTCGTAAGTGTCATGAATTACTAGAAATTTAAATCTAAGTGAGTTCACATATTAACCATAGTTATTTGATTAAAACACAAGTAGCTGAACTCCTATAACATACTAATCCAAAATGAAATGAATCAGATTGTGGATTAATGCAATATATATACTGGGTGCTAGTTTATACCCTGCTGATGACTCATGGGTCACACATCGTCCCCAACACCTGAGATGTGCTGGCCAAACTCAATAGAAAAATTAGCAATTTTTAACTGCTTTTCAAATAATTGCTCTGGGGCAGAAGTTCTTAAGTGCCCAAATGATTGGATTAGAAGGCCTCCTAGGTCCCTTCCAACTCTATTATTATTCTATCCTATTCCATTTCACATCCCCACCGCCAAGGGGACCAAGAAATTAGTCCTGTTCCTTCCAGTGACAACATATGGTCTACTCTAGTTATCCAAACCTTCAGAAATTGCCTATACCTGACATGCAATTTTTTGTCCAAAGGGGTTTTCCAAAGAACACAAATCTCAGGTGATCATGCTCTGCTTATAGGGATTGACAAAGGGCTGCATGTGTAACTTCTTGTTAAAGGTGATGCTCCTTAAGTTTGATCAGCAGTCTAGTGTAGTAGCATCCATCCTGCAGTATTTCAATAGAAAAGTTGGAAGAATTTTCCAAGTTCCTCCCAACATGGCCAACAGCCATGGTGACTGGAGATCTGGTAATCTGAACACATCTGGACTGTCTCATGTAAGGGGAGACTAACTTAATGCTAAAGCAGCAGAGTCTCAGAAGAAAATGTTGCTATCAGTTTCAGAAATTATCCTGCATCTTCTGGCTAAGTATGAGCCGAAGTGGGGCAGTGGTTGGAATGCAGTACTGCAGACTATTTCTGCTGACTGCAAGCTGCCTCAATTTGGCAGTTCGAATGTCACCAGGCTCAAGGTTGACTCAGCCTCCCATCCTTCCAAGATGTCAGCTGGAAATATAGATGGAAAATATTGGATTAATCAAGCATTCTGGGATTGAATTTCATTATTTAATCACACGCAATTTTAATTCTAAGATTGTTTATATGTGCGGAGGGACTTCCAAACAGAACAAACATTATTTCTTTTTATCTTACATCCAACTTACATTCTTCTCCATCTGCAAATAGATGTCAGAACAGTCTGAGGGAGCTTTCAATGATACAGAAACAAGTAGCATCTCTTCCACACCCAATTCAAATGTAAGTACATTCATAATTTGTCATAAGTACTAAACGCCTATGGCAGTTGCAATTAAACAGACAGTTGCATTTATTAAGTTGCACTTATACAGATTCCTGTCAGGGTATGTGCCCCCGAAGTTTTTTAATGTTCCAGAGATGCTTCACAAGCCACACAATTGCCGCCATACAATTGCCAAACTTGGAAAGGGGGGGGGAGTCTATATTGAATTAATGACCTATTTTGTTAGCCAAAGAAATGAAAGCTCAAAGCCCCAGAATTTAACTGTCTTACTTTTTGCATTACAGATGTTTGTGGCCACTGTGCTTCAAGAGCCAGAATTAAGTCTTACACCAGCAGCCTCCCCAGCTCATCAGTCTTATGGCACGATGGGCAGCCACCTGGACCAAGCAGAGACTATAGAGGAGGGTGGCCTGCCAAGTTTTGAAGAAGAACTGGAAAACACAGAAGGCAAATATAGAACCGGGCCCTTGCTGGACACCCAAACTCACTATAATTGATTTTGTCCTGCCAAACCAAAGACGGACAGACAGAAGTGTTGAATCTTCAGAATGCTTGAAAGAAGCATCATAACCCAAAATCTAAATGTCCCTGAGCTGCTATACCAGATAGTTTGGGGAAAAGATCTGAAGTTGTAATTTGAACCAGAACCAGTCAGGCAGATGGATGATGGGCCCTTTTTAAGTCCTGACATCTCTGGTCATGCTGTTAGAATGATGGATATAAAACATTGAGATGCTGAGCACAGATACAGACTATTGAGATGTTCTGAAGAGGTAGTGTTATTTCTACCCTATACACCAGCTGCTTGGCAGCATGTTCTATATGTCACCTCTGTTCTGCTCCAGGTTGACAGACTGCCATTGCTTGGCTCTTTCTGTGTCTTCTGGGTAAATCATCTGAATACTCAGTTGTTCCATATTCTCTTCTCCCCACTATTTTGCTTTTTAAAAAGAAATATTTTGGCCATATGAAAATATTTCTCTAGCTTGAGCAATGTTCTCAACAGCAGCAAAAGGGAAGAAAGGACTATTTTGATTTGCAATGTCCATAATGGCTGCAGTCCTTTCGATAAACCAGTAGTGAAAGAGGTCAGGACATATGGAATGTTGAGCATCCTTGGATATACATTCATGATCACTGCAACTCACAGTATATTGCCAGCTGCAGAACCAAAGGCCTATATTTCCTGATAATGCTTCTGCTGCAGTTACTGCTTTTGTCCAAATCCATTGCCTCTAAGAAAGACTTCCCATGCTAATTTGGTCGAAGTGATGAGCCTAACATATCTCTTTTTCTAGGCCTGCATTTGGCTAGTTGCTGGCTTGGCAAGCAGATGAATGCCAAGTTCCAATTTTTCCATTATTTTTGATCAAATGAGGTGGAAACTCCCTCATTCCTCGTTCGACAACAGATTTCAATATGGGAGATGGGGAAAAGAGGTTTCTAGTGCTAAGAGCTATGTGTATAAAAATCTTGCCCAGTTTCCTATAAACCAGGGATAGGAAAAGATTGATTATCAGACAATTTAAGGAAAAGTGAAAGGTTTAGCTTATGTCAACCACATATTTTTTCTTTAATAGGGAATTTATTTGTACAATTGAAGAAGAACCAGATTTAAACACACAACTGTTTCCTAATCACATCTAGGGTGACATTAAGTTGATAGTAGACACTGGAGTGAAATGGCAGGCAGAGGTGAAATCTCTGTCCTTAATTAACACGTTGTCCTTTTTTGCACCAGCATGTTTGAGGTTGCCAGTCCCCAGCTGGCATGTCGTCACATGCCTAGATTTGGAAAGTTTCAAGACAACCAAATAACACATATGCTTTTCAGAATTGCTTTCTGTTTAGACATGCGCATGGGAATGATTCAGTTTTGTTTCAAAGCCACCACTATAATACAAGTTGTCTTCTAGTTAAACTGCATTCAAACATTAACCAGCTAGATCGTGGTCAGGAATTTGTGTATCTTTCTTCCAGCAGACATGTAGCCAGAAAGTATCATCGAAGGTGAGGGACACTGGAAGCTGGAGACACACAACTTCTTCAAACTGCATTGGGCAACTGTTTCTCACAGCACCTTCTGCTAGTCTAATGCATTGTGCACTTTTCTCTTGAAAACTGTGTTGTAAGACCTACAGTGGAGCAGTCTGCAAATGTCTGAGAGATGAGTAACGCTATTAAAGAGCAAGTAAGAGGGGGAGTTCATAGATGATTTGCCGAAAATCACCACCCTCTTTTTTTCCACAGGATTCTTATGCTTTTGAGTAATTATCAATCCTGTAAGTAATAAGTGAAATGTTCCTAACTTAATGGATGTTATAAATGGAGAAAACACACTGCATAGTACTAAACTGCTCTACTGAACAGGTTTTCCCTGATAAATGTTTTCCTGTTCTACAATAGTAAATGAAACAAAAAGACAGAAAACAGAAATTTGACTAAATGTGGATTTCTCTTCCAAGTTTAATAGAAAGCAGTCAAGTCAATTTTCAAGTCCAGTTTAATAAGCAGACAAGTCCATTTCTCTCCAATGGAAGAGCCCCCCGGACTTTTATGTTCTTCAGCCATTTCTGAGATAGCAGAATTCAAACTCTGAAGAAATATTGTCACTGAGAAAAAGAGACTGGTGAGCTCAGTAGAAGTTCAGAAAGAAAACAAACTCAGAACAAGGACATAGAATCTGCCATATAATGCTCCTTCTGCCTCCACATGTGTAAAACATTAGCAGAAAAATGTAATGTGGTAACGCTGGACTAAAAGGTGGCTGGTTTGTGTATAGAACAGCAATTCACCACAAACCGAAATGTTCCTTTTTCCTGAGCTTCACCAAGGATATTCTTTGTCTCAGTAAATATCTGTGCAATGGAGCAGAATTTCCAGTATCATTTAACATTATTGTGTTTGGAAGAATTTCATAATTCATGGCTTTCTTTACTTTTAAGGAAACAGGAACTATACAGTGACAAATAGAAGACATAGTTTTTGGATCGTGGATTTACACTATGTCTAGCTGCTCTACTTAGGCTGGATCAATTCAAGAATTCAAAAGAAAGCTTGATTTGCACAAACCAAGGCTGGTTTAGGGCAGAGAGAGAAAAAAAAGCATCCTAAACATACACCTTAGAAATTAAATTTTCACCTAAAAATACTCTTAAACAAGAATACTTTTGAAAGCACTGAGAATTGCTGTTGAGAACCTTCAATGATTGATTCCATTATGGTACAATCCTACACTTCAGAATTGCCCGTAACCTTTGACACTCCACAGGTTATTGGTCTATAATGGTTATTATTTTTCCAAATTGGTCATGCTGTCTAGACTCATTGGGAAGTGGAATTCAGCCCCATCCAAAGGCACACATTAGTTGTCTCTACTTTACACATGCAACTTGATACAAACCTCATTAAAAAAAACACCATTGGGTGTTATGTTAAATTGGCAAAGGCTATATTGTATGGCAAGTGTATTTTCACTTACAAATAGTTATGCTACATTTAGGGGCAGGGGGAATTGTACCTGAGGATAACAGGATTTATAGAAGGAAGATTTAATTCTGCCCTTTCTGCCCTTTTACCCATTTAAATATGGTAGGCATAATACCATAATTTCTGTTGGCCTGAAAGGAAGATTACTTCTTATAAACTAAGCACTCTTATTTGCAAGGAATTGGCAGGCTTACTGTAGGACATGTTACTTGAATTTTACCTATATGACCTTGGGCACCTAGCTTGGGCGCAAGTACATTAAAATCAGCCTTTCTTGACTTGGCATTGTGACACACTAGCTGGGAATTCAGCCCATTCATATTTGGAATATAACTCAGTGGGGAACAGCTACAATAAAGAAAATACAGATGTATGTATTTTGTAGAGTATCCATCAACCCCCAAGTCTGAATCTCAATCCTTATGTATGCAGTGTTCATATCTCTTATTTGCTTGCTGGATTTTACCAATGTTCTGCATTTGTAGGGCTCACTGTACTAGTCATAAAGACCGGGACTAAAAACTGACCCCATTTTCACTCTCCTCCTTTGAGGACTCTCAAGTGTATTGGACTAACCCTAAAAAAAGCAGAAGACACCAGTTCAACCAGCTGCTTTCAAACCCTCCAAGTTACAATCCTTACAACAAAGGAGTGCAGAGAAATTTACAAGGAAGACCATCAAATTAAGTGTTTCAGGAACCACTAATACTGTGATTCCAGATATTATTGCTACAGAACTCCAGATTGCCTTAGCAGAAAGCATTACTCTTCCTTATGCTAGGGCCTTTATTAGGCCCATCATTATTATGCCCCAGGACTTCAAACAGACATTGTTGATGGTAGAATAGAGTAAAATAAAATAAGCAGAGTTGGAAGGGATCTTGGAGGTCTTCTAGTCCAACACCCTGCTTAGGCAGGAAACCCTACACCACTTCAGACAAATGGTTATCCAATCTCTTCTTAAAAACTTCCAGTTTTTGGAAGCATTTGCAACTTCTGGAGGCAAGTTGTTCTACTGATTAATTGTTCTGTCAGGAAATTTCTCATTAGTTCTAAGTTGCTTCTCTCCTTGATTAGTTTCCACCCATTGCTACTTGTCCTACCCTCAAGAACTTTGGAGAATAGCTTGATTCCCTCTTCTTTGTGGTAGCCTAGAATTTTACATGGATGAATTGCCTAAAACCGAGTTCTAAAGTAAGGCTGTCTGCACCAAACAGTTCTTATGTGTAGAGCTATTAAGTAGGTATGCCTATGTTGCTGCCTGGATTGGCTTCTACATTTTCCACATATAGAAATATTAGCCTTCACTCCATTGCAGAGATGCACTAGAGAGCTTACCAGGTCTGCAAACTAAGAGCTCTTTCATAATTACATTTTCCAGGATGGAGAAGAAAGTTGTTTGTGCTTCTATTTGACCATGACAGGTCAAGAGTAGTATAAAGTGATCCAATGTATCTAAGGAATCCATCCACACACAGGCCCTGCTTTTCTTTGATCCATTATTGTGCCATTTCCTCCTACTTCCAGAGAGGCCTTCCAGTATGGTCACTTTCATTTCCCATGAAATGAATTTTGCCTGTCCACATGCCAAATTAGCAAACTTCCAGTCAACTCCTTTCTTAGCTGCTCTTATTTCACAAATGCCTGTGGATTTTTAAAAAATGATGTCTTGAAGGAAAGAGATCTCTTGTCATTTCCTGGACTGACTTCTATTGGAATATAGCAAGAATTCTGAATGCTGTTTATATTTACTGCTATGACTGTGCCTTAAGTTACTTCAACCATGGCCCTTGAACTTTAAATATGGGTTGAGCAGTACATTTTAACACAGAGTAAAACATGAACAGAAACCCTTCTGAAGCTCTTTTCTTTGGGGAATCGTATTTGTCTTTATTCAGTAGATACTGAAACATCAATGTATCAAGTATAAGAGCTCCAATAGTTCTGATTAGTTGACTCTTTAAAAATCAAACATCTGATTCAATGGAAATTATTGGAAAATCACAATCTAATCCATAAATGAACTGTGGTAGAGAACATACATAAAAGCAGTATTAGAACAATTTACATCAATTTATCATCTATGGTAACTGGCTATGTTAAAGGTTTTGCATAACCAACAGAACCTGGAGGGTGGGGAAATCACCAAAATCTTGTGGTGCAGATATTGTAGAAGTTGAACTGTTGCTAAGTTCTAGCCAATGTGATGTATATCAAGCTGTTACATTCTATTTCCTTTCCTTCTCACTTTCTATTAACCTTCCTGTGTATGATTTGATAGGCACCATGTAGAGTGCCAAGCTGCAGCAAAACCAGATGGCTAGGTCAAAATTGGGTCAGGTATGATATCCATCATATAAAAAATTGAGTAGTATCTTTCAGCCTATCATGAACCTATGGTATCTAATCATAAACACCTCCCATTTATTGATTTCTTAGTAAATTTCTAGCACCAACTTTGATGGCATCATTTCAGCTCCATCCTTTCCCACTTAAACTTCATTGTAAAGAGAGCAATCTCTTTCTCATATGCATGCTAAAGAAGAGAAAGCCTTTATACAACCATTTTTCTTCATTCAATTAATGAATCAAGCTGGAAATACTTCTATAATGAACAGCTTTATTAAGATTTCAGGGCTGCCAAGAGAGTCTGAAATTTCCTGAAATGGTTCTGCTAAATAAGACAAAGGATTGGGAATTAGGAAATTCTGTGTTTCTCAGAAAGCAGCGGTAGGAGGAAGATTGCAGAGAGAAACTGTACAAAGGGAGGAAGGGGTAGAATAACTCTTGCGGTATCTTTCTATTCTTGTATGCAGCTGTAACCCCACCCTAGCAATCTTACACAATTCTGCCTTTAGCCAAAGTGTGCTTGGAAAGAGAGATATGTAACCTTAGAATACAATTTATAAGGAAGAGCTACAAGGGGTTACATACTTGACATAATGATCCCCAATTCTCCCATGCAGTATTCTTTCCTATACTGTTTTGCTATTCTAACACCACTACACAACTGAAATAAGCAATGAGAATATATTGCCATCCCCATTAACTTTTATGAGGTCAAATATCTACTGATTGAAATCTTATTTGAATTTCTCAAGCAATATGGAACCTTGGGTAAACACATACTATATATAAATTATAAACTTGCTTGACTCCAATAAGAGCCGAGACATTCCCTATTGGAAAAGGTATTCTGTCACACTTCCAACAGAAGTGGGCAATTTAACTTACTTTGAAAAACCAAGAGCTGGAGATCCTGGGTTCACTCAAATGCATCCTAGTGTCAGGGTTCCAAATAGCATCCAAAAGTAAATCAGAGTCCAAAGCAAAGCACTGCTCAAAGTTCCAATTTATTAAGAGAGCCATGCTGGCACAAGTGGGAAAACCCGAATCTGAAAGGTTCCCGGTTTCCCCCACCTAGCTGAAAGTTCAAGGTCTTGCCCAAAAACCCACAAGTCCACCACATGGTCCAATCATCCATTGCCATTCTGGCAGTTCCACCCATCCAATTCTGGTCAGGTGCAAAGGTGCAGAGACAAAGGATGACCTTGGCTTTCTAGAAAGAATTTTGTTATGGCTACATAGTATGTAACTCCTTACAATGCCCCCTCCCATTTTCCCACAATATTAAATGCATAGTAGAATAATAGAAAGTGTGGCAGGCCAAAGATCCAAAAGAAAAGATGGCTGCAGGCCTGACACCGAGAAGTCAGCCCAGCTGGAAAAGGGATGGAGGTAGCAACATCATTAATCTATCTTGTTTTGATTTTAAGACTCCTTAGGCTCTCTAAACCTTGTGAAGCTTAAATTATTAAGTACAACTTATGCTAACCTAATAATGTGGTGATTATAACACCCAATTAGCTAACAAAGGAACAATCAGAATCCAATTACACTAGAAGGGAGATCTCTAAAGAAAGAAACAAAAAGCTTTAATGATGTTGCTACCTCCATCCCTTTTCCAGCTGGGCTGACTTCTCGGTGTCAGGCCTGCAGCCATCTTTTCTTTGGGATCTCTGGCCTGCCACACTTTCTATTATTCTACTATGCATTTCCTATTGTGGGAAAATGGGAGGGGGAATTATAAGGAGTTACATACTATGTAGCCATAACAAAATTCTTTCTAGAAAGCCAAGGTCATCCTTTGTCTCTGCACCTTTGCACCTGACCAGAATTGGATGGGTGGAACTGCCAGAATGGCAATGGATGATTGGACCATGTGGTGGACTTGTGGCTGTGGGGGCAAGATCTTGAACTTTCAGCTAGGTGAGGAATACCAGGAAGCTTTCAGATTCGGTTTTTCCCAGATACGCCAACATGTCTCT